ATGACAACATTATGGTTTCAGTAAGTCCGGTCAACTTCTATATGACAACATTATGGTTTCAGTAAGTCCGGTCAACTTCTATCTGACAACATTATGGCTTCAGTAAGTCCGGTCAACTTCTACCTGACAACATTATGGCTTCAGTAAGTCCGGTCAACTTCTACCTGACAACATTATGGCTTCAGTAAGTCCGGTCAACTTCTACCTGACAACATTATGGCTTCAGTAAGTCCGGTCAACTTCTACCTGACAACATTATGGTTTCAGTAAGTCCGGTCAACTTCTACCTGACAACATTATGGTTTCAGTAAGTCCGGTCAACTTCTACCTGACAACAGTATGGTTTCAGTAAGTCCGGTCAACTTCTACCTGACAACAGTATGGCTTCAGTTAAGAAGAGATTGTGATCAGTGGAAACTACTAATTGATTAATCATTGAGCAAATGCCCACACTTGTCTATTCTTGGCCACAATATACATATCTGCCTAAAATTACCCTTTCTCTAATAGTAAAAACATCTTTTCCCTTTCCAACCAAACACCACTCACAAAAGAATATACACACACACTTTCTTTATCTTGTCTCAGCAAGTTTCTTCACGTCTAAGTTTAGACATTTCAAATGATGCTAAAATTTACAATGATGATCAGAAGGATCAACTTTAGTATCTGTACCTTCTAGATTTTAAAAGCACATCCGATGTCAGGAAACAGCCTATATTTTGGTTTTCACTCATTGATCATTTGACATGTTCAAAATAACACAACAACCTAATTGTATACGAATAGAAAATACAAGCTGTGCTGTCACTGGCTATACAAATACTAGAATACATGGATCTGGCTAGGTACTCTATAAATGATTGACAAGAACTATGGAAAGTGGTTATTATGTTATTGACAGAGCTATGAAGTTAGTTGGCTTTTGGCAGAGATATTTACTTTAACTGTAAATGGGATGACAAATAAAGAGGGTTGTAAGGTTTAGTTTTGTCAAAAAATTATCATATTTTCCATATTAGTCTAACACCTATTTTTTTTTGTTTAATGGCCAATAGTTGTTGATTGCATTCAAGTAATCAATAATAATTACAATTAGTTTTTGTTAAAAACATTTTCTATCTACTCTTCATTTAACATGGTAGACATCCTTCAGGTACAAAACTTTAGAATTAAGTTACTTCTTTAAGCCTAATCTATTATCTATGTAATGTAGTAGAAAACCAGTAACCAGCTGAAAATATGATAAATACTATTCAGTGTGTTTTTCCCTACAAATTTTCAGAAAAGACTAAAACTATATAAAGTAATTCTTTAAAAATAACTGTCCTTAGATTTTAAACTTTGTAGATTTTCTGTTAGTGAGATATCATTCAGAGGAAAATTAACCCTCGAAACTTACAGCACATTATCACGATTCAAAAAAAATGTAAATTCATTTTACAAGAAATGTTAAAATTACCAATACCTAAAAACAACAACAACTAACGACCAATGTTTAAGATATCAGTAATTCCATCATCTGCACAGAAAACCTACAAAAAAAAAAAAAAGCATACTATATTGAACAGGCAGTGTTTAAGAGGCACCTGAAGACAGTTGGACTTTCGTTATTCCTTTTCAGTGCTTCCTATCTAGCTAGAGCTAGTTGTAATTAAAAAACAGTCATATCAGTATAAACTAGTTACTGACATAGTGTTATACATTATTACTGTTGTTTGTCCAAATAAAGTAAATTTTAACAAACAGTTAATGATCAAGTTACTCATCAATCAAAATGTCTTTTTAAACAAATAAAGGAATAAATAATATTAACTTGTTGTAACCTTTTAAATTAAAATAATCTTCCCATAAGTAACACAGATTACACTGTAGCATGTGTAAGTTACAGTATTGTTTAGTACAGAGAAGACAAACATGAACAACACGCATCAATGTGACTAGTTATATAAACCAATATCCATAATGTTACATGCATTACACCAATGGAAGTAGTAGTAGTAGTAAGTATTGTGTTGAGTGTAAGTTCAGTTGGTATACAACAGGAACCAAACCTGTGACTCTTGAACCACTCATCAGTGGGCCATTCTGGTGCAAGTACCGAATAAACTCGAACTTCACAGAGCTAAAATTCAAAACTTAATTAAATTACACTACTTTATTATCACAGTATATGTCAATAAACTTGGCATGAAAACATAGCTTATAAATAAAATTTTAACACAAGGAAATATTTAAGCAAATTCTTAATCTTCTTCGTATCTAGATTATTTTTACCTACATACAATCTTTTTAGTTTCCCACAAATTATACACCAATACTTAAAACGTAAATTCATAGCCTCTAAAACTTCTTGCTCTGAGACATATGCAGAAGTGAAACCCACTTTATATGGAGAGTTAAGAATTAAAGATTACCTGTAGCTGTCTAATGGTTTCACCACCTTTTCCTATAATGAGGCCAACTTTTCCCCCTGGGATCATCATGTCAATCACCACTTGCCCTTCAGGTACTTGGTTAATATCCACATATGGAGGAGGTGGTCCTCCTCTGTTGATGATTTGAGTCATTAATTCTTTTGCTTTTCTGCAAAGTTGTCCAAAATCATGTAATTAGTAAATATTTAAATCACAATAGCATTCCCAATGAACTGAACAGTTCGAGTGTAAATATCAAAGTCACCAATGACCAGAAAAGTGAAAAGTTTCACAAGCTACCGATACTCCAATAAAGCCTTGCGTCTTTCAGAACTTGACTGTAATAATAAACAAATGGACATATTCAGCTGATCAGATAACACATTATATTGCTGTTTAAAAAGTTTTAAGAAGAAATATTTAAATTCTAAAACTTGAACAAGTTATATCAGTGTTTGCTGACCCAAACAACTTCCTCAATTTCATACGGCAAACTATTTGACTTGGCTAAAGGATTTAAGTTCAGGCCAAAATTTAGTCAGCCCAGAACCCTGCCTAGATTACCAATAGGCAATTCCCAGTGGTGACTACTGCAACCAACAAAATAAAGTAGAAAAAAATATATTCAATGAAAAAAATGTATCAAGTTGAAATCAAATGGTCACACACACACACATATATATATATAAAAATTGGAACTTTATAATGAACAATTAAATTTAAGAAATTTGAATTACCTTCTCTAAAAAAGTGTAAACAAAAAACTAAATTAACTTTTCTGAATTTTTTGAAAGGCAGAGTTAGATGCTACTTGGTCTGTTATTTAAAACATTAATACAATGTGGTTAACTATTTCCAATGGATAAAACCAAGGGATATCAGTAAATCCCTTCTGGTTTCAAAAAGGGTTAATTTATATATAATGGGATATAAAAACTTACTCTATGGACTGTCTGGATCCTGTCAATGTACACGCTCTATCGGGAGAACCTCCACTATCAGCTGCCATCTGAATCTTGCACCCTGATTCAGCCTGTAGCCTAGTGATTTGTTCCCCACCTCTTCCAATAACTGATAATAAAAAAGGGAAAAAAAGGGGAGGGGGAATGATCATTTTGTAGCAACACATGAACTACATTTGCAACAAACATCAATGTAAGACAAAAATGGCTCAAAACTAAGAGGCCAGAGTTTAGAAACCTACCAGAACTGAAGGATTAAGTACCCAGAGAATCATTTGCACGGAAATAGTTCATCAAAACATATTCTCTGTTTGTTAAAATTTTAATAACTGTATTACTCAACAAACTGATTCCAAAACATAACTATAATAAGTACCGACAATTAATAAAGTTGTCAGTATGTAAACTGTCTAACAGTATGCTTTTATTAAGTATTGTTGATCACCCTCCAATGATCACAATTTGTGTGAACTTGTAAAGGTTATTGTTGCATAGTTAGAAAACCAGAAAAAGTTTGAGTTAGGGGAAATTGTCTACTTTTTGCATGTTATTAGTCTATGTTCTTTAGTGCATTATTTAATTAAATAAAAAGTATTTAGTGGATTACTACCATTAGTATAAAAAAAGTAGGTTTAAGTGTCATCAACAATTGATAGCAAGAAAAAAAGAAGATTGGGTAAGTACTTTATTTCTTGTTATAAAAGTAGCAAATGTAAAAACATTAGATTAGTTAAGATTAAATTAGGTAAAATAAATAACAATATAATAAACATGTTTCACAAGGCATGCACATGGAAAGCTCATGGGTAATGTAATTTGATAGCATAACGTGAACCGCATGTTCCCCAAGTGACTTGCAATTTATAACGGTGCGAAATGAAAAATGCCCGTAATTAAGGGTTGACCGCTATATCTCGTTGACCAGTATGCGGATCTGGACTGTATTACAGAATCACAAACTTCTACCAGTGAATTTTATCTTGTATGCGTCTTCTCTATAGCTTATGAACAAATAGGGCACTGAACTTGATGTTTCTTACCTAGAGAAAAGTCTTTGTTTCCTTTACAAAACAACCATTTTGTGTGTGTGTGTGTGTGTGTGTGTGTGCTAATTTTTCCTACAATCCATTTTCTAGAATTTTAAAGACTTCTGAATGAAAGCAAAGTAGAAATTAGAATGTTATTTCAATCACAAGTCTATTCCAGCGCCTTTTATCTAACATCGAGGCTCACCAGGCTGGCTGAGACAGAACAGTTGTGGTCCAAGCATTATTTATATTATCATTGTCCACAATCAATGAGTGTTACGGTGTGAATTAGATTAAGTAAGTGAATTTTATTTAAGCTATTTACAACTCAGATTTATAGGGTAAGATTTAATAATTAATTCTTAACACCAATTACATTACTAGGCATTTTCATCAGAAATAAGTGTTCTGCAAATATTTATCACACGAGACATGTTACTATATGAAACGTAAGGAACTTTAGATACTTACGCAAACCAACCATTTTATCAGGAACTTTCCATTCTTCTACAGTAACTGCATTAGAACCAGGCATAGATCTAAGTCAAATAAAAACTCTTACAAACCAGTTCAAATCAACTGCCTTGAAAGACTCAAACGGACATTAATATTTAGGCATTACTTTATTCTGGAACTTTTAATTATAAGTAACATATGCTCTAAGATTTCCCCCCCACTTACACTATATTTAAAAGCAAAATGTCTCTCCTAACCAGTGACCATATCTTACAATACCAAAGAACACACAACACACTTATATTAATTTTTGTATATTGCAACTTTATATACACACACTTATAACAAATTACATTACAACATGCTAGATTATTGACCTCCTTTTAACTGTGCTTACCTTTGCTGATGAATGGCAGCTAACTGGGCACCAATGGCTGTATAAAAAAAATTGATTTATACAGAACAAGTTAATACATCAGTATTTTAGAGTATTTACTAAAGTTAAGATACAATGCATATACCATCAGAAATCAATTTCATTATTTTCTGACAATCTTTACTATACACCAGAGATATAATTTTGACTTCAAAATACAATTTTAATGCATCTTGAGATGGAGCCGATGTTAAAGTACAGTCACCTACATGAAAATATTTTAAATACGAGTAAATTAATAACAAGTCTTGATTTATCACTGTAATTTCACAAAACTACATCATAAATAGAATGTAATCAAATGTATTTTTAGATTTCTTCATATACTAATATAATCAACATTAGCTTAAGGTTGTAATTTGTCGTTTCACACAGCTGTCAACATTCAGAAACTGATGTCAAATATTTAATGGAGATTTCCATTCTTGAACATTAAAAATCACTTATATAGCTAAAGAATTTCTTCTCAAAGTTCTGAGACTTTTACTGGATTACATTACTTACTAATAACATGAGGGGTTCCCACCATTTAAGTTATAACCCACTTCTCTAAAATTATACATGTTGAAACATGTAATACATAGTTACTAATATAGTTTGCTTTGTTAAACTAAGAACTGTATTCTTACTCATCAAAACTGAGGTAAGTTATATATATGTTACTTTCCATGCTATTGACACACTAAGGTCCAATTTACCTTAAAATGTAATTAAAGATATAATATGCATTTATTTCCAGAGTTTCTGTATTATTCAATTATTAATCTAGTTATATAAATATAAAAAAAATTCTAACTTTTTGTTTTGTGTCCAATTTCCAAAAAACAAAAACCTTGCTTAGTACTTTTTGGGGATTTTGGATGTGTTTAAGTCAGTCACATCCTATTTGGATGGGTGAGTATAGTCTTAAGAGTTGGTGTTGGTGGGTGTTGACTGCCTTTGTCTAATATTTCAGTTTAAAATTAGGGATAGCTATGTTTGAGAACACCTATTTTAAACGATTATAAAAACCTCTGATCCCTTGCATAATCTATCAGTAAACTACTTCCCCAAAATTAGAGGATTCTAATTAAAGTAAGCTAGTTCTTTTATTTTTTTATAAACCTCAATTTATTGTCGTATGTGTTAATAGTGGTATAAAAATGCTTGCTTACTTGAAGTATGTTTTCGACCATTGGGGTGTTGTTTATATGCAAATTAACGAAAATGTGCATACACAGTAGTAATAAATAATATTTTTATAAAATAATATATACACACACGTGCCATATGCTGTGTTGTATGATAGGTCTGTGTAAATTAACCATTTTTCTAAACATGTTTATGAAATCTGAGATTAAAAGTAAAGGCTATTTAGAGAAAAATCTTTCTTGGATTTACATAACCCCATTTTTCAGTATTGTGTGTTTTGTAACTGAGTTCTAAAGTTATAGAATAATTTAAGAATACTTGAGTTAAAAATCATTTCATATTTTTTTTTTTAACAAGTTACCCATATATAAAGGAAGGTTCCAAAACAATGATTATTCACAATGGACTGACTGGTTATTGAAAATAAACTAGCTCAAAGCACTGGTTAATAACTGAAAAAACAACAACTATATATATTACATGTTATGTTATATGAATGTCTACAGAAACAATTTCCCCTCCAGAAGATTGTTTTTGTATTTGAATAAGTAATATAACCTTCCATAGAGTATAGTGAATGAGTTAGATTTTAGGCTACCAGTAAATACTGAGTTTGGCTCAAATAATATTTTTGGTATCAACTTGATAATCAACCAAGCATTTCATTGATAATATGGTATTTGTTGTTTTCAGCAACTACTACAATGGAAAATACAAAAATATTGAGTGCCAAACCAACTGATAAGTGGAATTTTCTTAACCACATCTGGGTTATTCAACTCTTCACAGCCATCTTTGTAAGAAAATAATCAGTTTTTCTGTACAAGGATTAGAATCTCACCTAAATAACATTTTAAAATTTGACCTTTTATAAGCAACAACATATCTGCATAATACTTACGATCTTTCATTGTTGCTAGCTTTTTAGGATCAGAACCACCATCTGAAAAGTAAACAACTATCATCATCATCATTCCTTTCCTTAAATTTGTATTATTAAAAACTAGTATAAAAGCCCCATCAAAAGTGACAGGAAATTAAAGCATACCAAATTCAAATCCTCCAATATGCATTTGCAACTTTGCCACCCATAAACAGACATAGGAAAAATAAAGGGCCTTGTAGCTTTGGGAAACCAAAGCCTATCATGAGAAATATCTCCTTTACCTAAAGATTGTCTCTTCCCAGCCAGCATTCATTGATCAGTTATTGTCTTATCACATCAACTGCATTATTGCAATAGTTCTCTTAAAACCACATTTCTTGTAAATACTTGATCATTGTTGAAAAACATATCTCCATGAAAGTCACGATTTTACCAAGCAACTACCTTACATGCAATTAATCAAAGACAAGTGCCTACAAATTTTCCCAACTCGTGAGCTATCTGATTAGAGAGGCAATTTTCTAGGGACCATGTTAAATTGATGTGTTTTTATGCTCTTAACCCTTTCTGTACAGCTGATGCATTGTATCCCTTTAAATACTTTTCTGCACAAGTCACGGGGGTTACATTCAAAATTCAATTAAACACCTTTACTATCAATGTATACGAATGAAATTAACATTATAATTATGTTATGATTCAAAATTATACGTTATCTAAGTTTAATCCTCTATTTCAAAAGAATCCTTTAAAAACTTTAATCTTAGATGTATTGTCATGTGACCCACGAGCTATAAAAATCTCTACTTTGGCACTCTGTATCTTCAATAATACAATGCCAGTTGTGTAGATTAAAAGATGTTTACGTAACCTATTGACACGTTCATTTCAAAGTTCTCCTGATGAATGCGGTTGAAACAAGTAATAAAATTTGTCAACTCCTAACCAGTACCACACCCCCACCTTCAGTAGATTTGTTTGAGTTTTATAGCCTACATGTAGAGGTTACATGTGCTACATTAGGTTACATTAGCTCATTTGACACTATAATCCAACAATGGTTGTTTTTAAATTGGCAAGCAGTTTTCATCACAGCGTACATGTTACTGCCTGTGGTATTGTTAGTTTCTTGACCAACTATAGCACTTATGGTTGTTTCTCAAATAAATATGTTAAGAGTCAGAGATAAAGTTTAAATTGTATTTAGGTCTTACTACTATATTTTAGTTATGTTTTAAAATGCATAACTGAAAAGTTTAAACACTTTTTAAATCTACATCATACTTTTCAGTTTTCATTGCTCATGATATTATGAGAGGCATGAAAATTTTGCCTAAGGGTTGCACATCTCTGCCAGAGACACTGTAATATGCCGTGAGGGCACTATTGACTTGTGTTGAGATAAGAATTAATTGTGAAGGACAAGAAAAAATAAAAAGCATTAAACATATATGAAAGGGAAAAGACCCAAAATTATGAATATAACCAAAACAATATCCTTAAACATACTCTACAAAAAAGTAAAAGGCATATACTTTTTTTATATTTCCTCATCTTAATCATTTCATTGTAGATTTATGGTAATAGCTAGTTGGTGATATGCTAGAGAAAATGAATATATATATAAACATTTACCTTAAAACAACTTTTTGGTATTCACTTAGGAGATTCTAGAGATTATATTATGCAAGGAAAATATGAAAACTAAAATGAAGAAAAGTATTTTTACACTTAAAATGAATATAACCTTGCACTCAAATTATTCAGTTTGAGTGCAAATAACTACTATAGATAAATAACATTAGTAAGACAATTAAAATAACAAAATCTTAATGAAGTTTTGTGAGGAATGCTCAGAGTTACTCTGTTTTTTGCATACACCTCATTTCCCATTCGAGGTGAAGGTGATACGAAATGTGTCAGCCCATACAGAAAGGGTTAAATACATTTCACTAAATTCTAATAGCACACTTATAATGCATTTGTTTGTTCAAAAACATTTTATTTTCTTAACTTTACACAATTTTCTGCAATGTTGATGTAACTAAGGCTGAATATCCAAGCCTTACTTTGAAATGTTTCTTCATGATACATTACTTAAAAACAGATACATGTACTAATCGTAATGGTAATGTTTGATATAGAAAACCTTACAAGGTCTTTATAGCAAAGTTTAGGTAATAACATCATAAATTAATTTGCTATACAACGAGTCTACTACATTATATTATACGAATATCTCATTGTAACTGTATTCGCTGCACAAAGCAGTTTCAGCTACCAGTCACTGAAAATGAAAGTTAATCAAAATTTACTAAAACTGTTTCAAAAATCCTCAATAGATATATATAAATATGGAAAAAGACAAGCATTGTCAAAGTAGGATACTTTTTATCTCTCTACTATTCAAGTTTTGTTGATGGAAAATTAGGTAGAAACACAATGAACAAAAGGTTTTCAAGCCCATAAAAACTATAAATAATACATACATCACTTAAAAAAAACAAAATTGCATACAAATCTACACAGTTATCTTGATCACAATAATTAGTGTTCTGTAAAATAATGGATTAAATCAATTAGTTGAGAGTTATCAACTAAAAGATAGTTTTTCAATAAATAGTTTGATTAATTTAAAGTTAAACTTAATCGATTAGTGTGACAAATCACATTAATAGTCAACTGATCAAAAGTAGTGTTTCCCCATTAGTTAATGTAATCAATTAACAAATTCTACTAATTTCCCAGCTCTAGATACAAGAATACACTTTGCTGCAAAATTATTCAGATGCTTTGGATGGAATTTTACTCCTTTACACATCTGGATGTTCTGAACAACCAGCTTTTACATCTTTAGATGGTTCTGCCTACAGAGTATCTCTTCATCCCTCTGTGTTTCAACATTTTTGTCATGTGTTTGGTTCCTTTCTTGATATACATAACTTACAACAACATGGAACCACAAGTTACCCATTTACTGGTCTCCAGTTCTGGATCTTTCTGCCTTGGTAGTAGATGCCAAGACTGGTCAAGATCCTTACATTAGAATTCTTTCATATCCTACATGGTTGTTTTAGTAAGTTGCCCTGTTCTGGTCAATACAGCTATAGTTTTTACTTTGTAGGAGTTGCAGTTACAGATCCTATTCCATTCTCTTGCTGGGAACATCTTTGGGGCATTCCAACAGTGTATTCATTACATTAGGATGTTTTGTGGTTAAATTTTCACATCTGACTTCTCTTGCTGAATATTAATCATCAAGTTTAAATGTGGAAAATGCTTCATAAGAAGCATCATCAACATCATATACCAAGTTACTGCTATGGAGGGTATTTACCTTTCAATTCTTGTGGTGTTCTAGAGTACTCCATTGACCCGACTGATTATAGGGCGATCTTAATATATGGTGACCCCCATTTTCAGAAAGCATGGGAAAGAAACAAATTGAGTATCATAATATCCTTTTCTATGTCTGCAAAATGCCTTTCTTGTAGTTCTGGCAGCAATAAAAGTGTTCATTTTTCTTCCTCTCACACAACCATAACTTAGTTGTAATCGTTATTGTACAGCCTAATTATTAATAAAAAAAACACTGCCTTATAATTGGGCCAATACATAATTTTTATGTGGGTACCCTCCTGGTTAGTATTTGATCTCAAAAATTGTTTTGGAATTTTTTTTTTTATTATTATTCAACTGGTGATAATGACCATTCAGTCAAGTCACCAGGTGCTTGGAAACCAATGACCGTATATACTAGATATACTATAAACTTGGCAATTAACTCCTCTGATCAATGTAAGTGATTAATTCATTAATTAATCAAATAAAACAAAATTGTTGTTTCTGATTATCCTAACTATCCAAGTTCACTGAGAATAATCAATTAGTTGTATGTAACCAATTAGTCCTGTCAGTACAAGTATGTCTATTCTAGGCATGTCATGTTTTAGTTTCATAAAAGTAGCATCAATGTAGTTTATAATTCAAATTTTTATATTATCTAGGACTTAATATAATTAAAAAAACTTTTTTTATAGAATTCTTAACCCTCACAGTGACATAAGATCAGTTTCAATTTCCCTCCCTTTTAGTTTTTTTCTCTTAAAACTTTTAACAACCCAACATATACACTAGTTGACACAATCTATATAAATAGTTCCAAAGTCCAATGTACAGTTTCAAGGTCTTAAGTTTGCCATTTAACAATATATCAATAAATTATCAACCACAACAAAAGCCTTACCCACTTAATATTAAGATTGTTTCAAAACCACACTATCCTATTCGACTTAAATGTTTATAACCAACAAAGAGAGGTTATTTCCAATTTCAAGCATACAACTGTCCTCTTGAAATGGATGTTACAGACGTCTGGATTGTGTATTGTTAAGCAAAGTTGGCACTCGTAGCATTTAACTTTTTTAAATCTAGTTACATCTTAGTTAAAAAGACGGTTAAATTATAATCTTAGAACATTTTATTTTAGCCAATTATGTAATCTTTATGCTTTACAATGCATATTTAATTTTTGTTTTTGTGAAAGAAGATAAAGCTTAGTTGGTTAAGTGACAAGTACAAAACTTTATACACGTAACAGACAGACGAGTGGATGAGAATCTGCTATTGTCTTCCCACTGTAATGTATTTGTTTCAGACAGGAAGGAACTGTACTGTACATCATACAAGGCAGACAATAAAACTTAAATTAAACTATGTGAAAGGATAAACAACTGAAGCTGTGATCAACACGAACTCAGTTGTGGAAACCAATTACAGAATGAAAGATGAAGACATTTTATTTCACAATTTTCAAAAATTCATTTCACTGTACATTGATGATTCAGTTAAGACTAGTGTTAGGTATATAAAATAACAGATTAATTATAAACTTTTGATATTAAATGAGGAGGTTCTAAAGGTTGTGCAAATGAAATATTGAAACTAAGATGAAATTTTTTTTATTTTTAGCATGAAACCATTTTTTTTATTAAACTAGTCACTCAGACTGACTTCATAAATTGATATTTTTAGTAAAAAATTAATCCATGTACAACAGACTTAATGTTTATTCAAATCTTGAAAATTTATAAATATGAATAAATTCATAATTATAGTAAACACAGCTATGTATAGCTTAATAAAAAACAGGGGGTGGTAGAAAACACCAGAGTTAAAGGGTTAATGCACCTGACAATCAATTAGCAGATTCCACTAATCATCTAGCTTTAATCCCATATATCACCCCTCAATTTTAAACCTTATCTGCTTTATATGTTATGTATATTTATATCCAGTCTTATTTTAACTAACACAATACATGAATTGAGCTTGTCACATGCATCGCTACAAGTAAGGCCAACAGTAAAACATGCAGGTGCTACAAAGGGTAGGCTGTGAACATAAGGAGTTAGATTTTTACAATCTTGGTTTCAGAAATTTTACATCACCTTGTATAGAACCACATAACAGATTTAATAACTTCTGCCTCAGCCATCATTTACAAAAAAGTTTCAGGCATACAAATAGAAAGAAACAAACAAATAACATACCTGATAAAAGATCCATACTGTCTTCTAGAGGACGCTTTGTTCCACCAGTGGTACCAGTATCACCACCACCAGGATTAATCTTTGCTGCTATCTGTTAAAACAACACCTTCAATTCTAGTAACTTATATTACTAAGTTCCTGCTAGTCTATTTCACTAAATCTAATATTGCCTATTTCACAACCTTTTGACCATATTCACACAACTATCTTGTTACAAGATAATGACTCACTCAAGATAAGTAAAACATTATTATGTTTGTGTATAACAATTCTTGAAACGATATTTAATGATAAATCAGTAATAACTTGGACTAAAATGTTGAGTGGGAGGATGGATTGGGAGGGGCATTTATAAAATGCTGCCAGTGCATTAAAAAGAGGATCTTTACACATAAATATTGTTTTGGCAACTTGATAACACAAAATAACAGACCTTGACAGTACGTTTGAGAAAAGAAAAAAGTTTGGATTAATCTTAATTTTTTTTTAATAATCCCCGAGAAGAACAGAATCTTTAATATATAATTAAACATTTAAATTTTTTTCCATCTATCTACATAATGACAATATCAATACAAAATTATACTTCTAAAAACATAAAACTGGCACTGAAATATGTTACAAAACCATGTTAAAAACAAACAAAATTGTTGAAAAACCAAGTAATTACAGTGTGATATTTTTGGAAAATAATGTTTTTATCCAAAACTAACTTTATTATTAAAACATATGTGCATGCCTAATCTTTTTACAGAATGTCATTCAACAGTATTATGCATTTGATGTCAGATTTCAACATTTCATGTTACAATGTTAATTTCACAATAGAATACAAGGATAATGAAAAAAACTCAAAAAACTATGGTAAATATTTAAGAAGTAGTACAGGTTACACAAATGCAATTTGCAAACTTTAAGGACAAGTTTTATTGCATTCACATGAACATCATTTTACTTGTTTGTTATTTATAGTCAGACTGACTTCAGCGTTTCAGACATATCTTGAGTACAAAAATCATGTACAACAGGACTTGTACATTTGACTAAAAGCTTGCCATATTTCATGAAGATACACTTTGTAAATTGGAATTATAGTCAATATTACTTCAATATAGGGCTGGTCCAATGGACCAATCCCATGCACATTCAGATAAATGGAGAAAATAACATTTCTTTGCATTCACATTTTATGGTCTTTTAAATGCATATGATGTTACATATTCATTGTCTGTGAAAAACAAATTACACAAAACTATTGCTAGTTTCATAAGCAATGTACAAGTATCTTTTCACAACATGAAAAATTTACATCTCCAGATCCACTTGTTCAACTGCTTGCTGAAGCCTTTTGGTACAAGTTTGGCAGGACAAACGTCACCCCTCTCCAAGGTTGATCTGTCTAATGAATGTTTCTCACCTTTATTTAAAATCTCTCAATCACTTAACTTGACCACTGCAAAATGTGTTTTCAAATAGTTTTCTACTTGAGGTATGCTTAGAGGTCAGGCTTATCGTTTGAACAGATAATTTATATTTAAGGGTATAAAAATACCCACTTCTTTTATGCATGTACATAATATCTTTGCCAAGTTTCAAGGATCTATGAATAGCAATGTGTCACAGAGGTCAGAGACTCTAGGGAAATAGAAAGCAATAAAACTTTGGACAAAGATTTGTCCAGTTTTATTGCTTTCTATTTCCCTTGCAGTTTTGTTTTAGTGCACATTTGTTTATATATATGTGATATATAATATATACTTCATATAAACAGACATTTACTTCATACACCAGAGTAAAGTAAAAGCTATTTCATAATATACACACCTTTAAATTGGGTATAAATTTACAGTTCAACATTAAAATAATTAATCAAATTAAAAAGACATGTTTTATCAGTATGCATTAATGGACAACCTCAAGTGATTTCTATCTACATCAAACATTCAAAATACAACTAAATGTGAAAACTTGTTTTGGTTGATAAATGTTTTATACGATCCCCAAAGTTCGGAGCTATGATGAAAATCATTTAATTTATCCTTTCTTCTTCATATATTTCTCTTTTTATACCTTTAAAGGAGTTTGTAAAGCAACAACAACAATAAAAGCTGCTGCTCAAAATGTATGTGTTTACATATATAAAAAAACTGAAAAATATTATAGAACAAAGGAATTTTGTGTGATACATTTATCATGCACTTTCAAGCTCAGTTCTAGACAACAAATTCTGAGGTTCTGCCATGTGGTGCCGAGTCCTCATTGGAGACTGGCTGCCTCTTCATATGTAACAGAACAGTTCCTTTACTGATACTACCAGTGGCCAAGAACTACCTGGTTTTATATTCTTGTACTACTTTGAAGTTTGAATACTCTACAAGCTTTATTCAGAACATTGTTCGAGGAGTTGACTTCCCAACAAGTTCTCTCTCACCATCTTTGGGGTAAGAACCATTGTGGCTATGGTGACCGGTGAATGTCAACGAGTCTTTTGAATTAAGTACCAACGTGCTTTTTCTGTTTCTCTGTCTGCAGTTCGGACATTTCATAAAATGTCTAATAAATTTAGCAATTTCCTTGATTTTGCTAGACACATTTCCAATAAAAACATCTTTCAATTTTTTGCATGTCTACTTGTAATGGTCTGTAACTAAGATACAAGCCTCCTTTTAACATCTCAAGGTTGCACAGCCTTCAGCCACATGGTGTAATTTCATTCCTTACTAATAAACCTACCAGAATCTCACTCCAAAATCGAATTACACTAATGCACAGAGTGAAACTGTTAAGAGGAGAGCTACCATCGTACATACTGAAAATTTTTAATTCTTCCTGACCCCGATATCCACTCAGTGCTATTACTGAAACAAAATTAAGATCTTCTAATGATCTGAAATTGAAACAACCAATAATTCTGGTCTGTTCCAAATACCATACCCAAAATAGCCAATAATTCTAGTCTGTGGTTCCAAATACCATACCCAACCATCATCAATTTGTTAGCAACAGCACAACACATGCAACAATAGCTATTGTTATGACAGTGCTTTGTTGCAATTAAAATTAGAAAATAGTTGAAAAACATAAGCTATTAACTCTTTCAGCATGGGGTCGGTCTTATGGACCGACCCCGTAACCATTTTATGCTCATTATAGCTTTCATGCTACAACTTTTTAAAATTAGTATGTGCATGTTCACAAAATTTGTCAATCAGTAAACATTACAAGGCTTTCATATGCAAAATATCAGATTTTTTCATTAAGTCTTAAAGTTTGTTAAGCAATGTTTTCTTTTTACTTTTTGCATGCTGCTTATCCAACATGCAAAGCAATTTTCATTTTAAGATTAAAAATACTTTTTATATGTCAGAAAATCTTCAAATTTTACAGGCAAAATCTTTAAGGTCCAGATAGTTACCAAATGTTTCCAAAAACAAAATATATTTTATCTGTTATTTTCACTAACGAATCTGTACAGGTTCGGTTACACCACCAAACAAATGCATTTCAATAAACTTCACTCAGAAGTAATTGCAGTTAATAAAGCAGCAAAGTGATTATTTTGGAAGTATTTTACTACATTTCCCTCAACAGAAGCAATTTAAATATCTTTCACCAATAAGTTTAACAGAAGAGCTGAGCATTCATATGTAACAGGCTGGTCTCCTACACGTTGATATGTTTTTTTCTTACATTTCTTGTGTTATTAGTTAAACATGGTCTTATAATCTTCCATGGAAGATTTGGCTACTTCACTAAGATACTCAGCATTGTGTGGGTGTTGAGAAGTATCCACTGTGTCGATAAGTATGACTCTCCATCGGTGCAATCAAGTGGATCACTGCAAATACTGCTCCACCCATCCAGACCATATTTCCTTGAAGGACTTTACTACCTTATAGCATTATTTGTTGTAGATAGTGTCAATCAAATCATTCCCTATATCATTTTGATTTGGTAGCTCATGACCTGGTCTTAGCTTTAATACTGTTCGAATAAACCTTGGGATTTCTACAAACCAAAAGGGAGTATTGGTTTCAATTTCTTCATCCAGTTCTCTTTTGTACGAGTTTAAAGTCTTGACTGCATGCATATCTAGTTTTGACAGAATGCCAAATGAGACTGTTTTTTAGGTTCAGGTGAATCCAAATTTCTGTTGGTAAAGTTGATGGTTGCATTTGTGGATTAGTTTTTTCATTGTCACCAACTTAAGACTATCACATCTTGATTATTAAACATTGTTAAAGTGCTGCTTCATTTGAAGATAGTGGAGCCCTTGATGGAGCAAATGCCATCATAAAGTGGATGAGCACAATCACCTACTCACCCCCACTTTAAGTCAACTGTGGCAGATATGCTTCCTCTTCAGGCACTGTAGTAAGCCTTTTGAAATGCTTAGACTACAATATGGGTGCACTAAGGTACTACAGGACACTGCATCCTCCTCCATCTACAGACATCTAGATTTTGTCTTACCACTTGGACCAAGATGGAACAGTGTAAAAGAGTGAGGTAGGCTCTGCACAACCATGCCTCACTTTTATGAAACCGACATGCAGACAACAAAAGCCCTGTGACAATAGATGAGTAGTACAGCAGCAGTTGCAAATACACTGGGAGCTGCAAGTTGCAGACTTGCACATAGGCAGATCAGGACATGTGATTGCTCTCTATCAAAATGAAGTAGCAGTGGTGTTCAGCAGCCTCCCTAAAGTCATCTTCAAATAACGGATGAACATGAATTCGAGCTTCAAGTCCCTGTAGCTCTTCCAAGCTATGCATTTTACTCTCATTTCAGCTTTATCAGTTAGTAGTTCTTGGTAAAATTTCCAAACAGGATCCTTTTTAGAACCAACCTATATGGCTGGTGTTTGCCTTTGCTGTGGTATACAAGCTCAAAACATCAATTGTAGATTGAAGATTTAGCACCAAACCATGTAGTCTACAAGGTTTAAAATTATTATATTTTGCATAGGGAGAAGTTTTTGATTTAAATCAATCCATCCTGATGTTAATGCTTTAGGAAATTGACAAAAAGTTTAATTTTATGCAAAGCTACTCAAATTCTACTTTTTGTCATGGTTTTGTTTACCATCAATTGGTCCTTCTATAGTTTAGTTCAACTATGAATTTTTAGTTATATTGAAGCTATAACACACCTTCTATCTAGAGCATGTTGATTTTGAGTATGCAGGGATCGAAATATTACATCCTGCATTCCCAAGGAATTTAATCCTGATCAGGAATGCATGGTCCATCCATATTCCTTTAGTTATGACCAATGAAGGTGAACATATCACAGAGAATAAACAAAAAATTAATGAGGAAATGCAACTTTACATGAAGGAATGTAATTTTCCTGATAGCTTTCTCTCGAGTGAATGTAATTTTATTTCATTATTTCTATCCCTTCTTCTTGCAAGTGGTGTATAAATATTAATGTTGTGAAAGATCATGTAGATTTATGGTGACAACTATTCAGAAAATGTAAGCCTCCTGATATAACAACTAAATAAAGAGCCTTCCTTGATCTTGAAAATAAGTTAGTTCACAGATCTGGTTAGAAAGAATTAATGCTTGATATTGAGATGTGGTTTAAATTTAAAATGTGCTATTTTCTAGTGAATCAGTTTTCTTCTGGTTCTTTCTCCTAATATCTCCAATATTTATTGAGATTAATAACATTGAGATTTAAGTTGTATTGTTTATTAACATTTGTACCAAAGTCCTGCCAGGCACTAGTTTACTGTATTTTTTTTGGTAATTAATAAAATTTGTATTCTAAATGTTTGAAAAATTTTCTTGACTCTGGTTGTAGGTGCATTTTGTTTAGGCCATTAGAGCCTGATGGATACCTGCAATAGCCATTCTCAATTTAGAAGCGATAGATTAGAGAGAAGGTAGCTAGTCAACAGCAAACACCACCAATGCTTGGTCTACTCTTACCAACAAAAAGTTAGATTTACTTCTCTTGCCAGCTGCCATTTAGTTGATCAAACCTGATAACTTGATAAAGCACAGTAAAATGTGAAGTACTTGAATAAGACAATGTTAATAATATAGATAATAAATAACAGAAAGGCTGTCAAACTTTGTAACAAACTGTTGGTAAAATTTCTGTATCTGAATACACGTATCGACTACTATGATGAGATACCCATCCCTAGTAAAAAGTAATCACCAAAGTAAAAGGTAGGTTGATATAGATATGACCAATACTATTTGTAAAGAGTTAACTCTTGCACAAAGATACTGTACAGGTAACAATTTCATACATTCACACCATATTTTAATACTAATAACAGAGCAAGTATTTTCAAAAAAGCTCACAATATAGGATTAAATTAAAGCTTAACAGTAACACAAATTTTGTGAATGCAAGACTGCAAGATTATAAAGTTTGTAAATTTTAATTCACTTAAAAAATGTAGTATAACTATAAAAAGAAAAGCTTTAACTGATTTTAACAAGGCATGGAAAATCTTTAGACTAAAAAATTAAAGTTTTTACTGAATAACTTAATAAACTGAATAACCACATATATCAAATTAGTTTGCCCCTGAAGAAGAAAGGTCCACCTTTCAAAAGCGCTCGGGTTATAGGTTTTTTATTCATTTCCATCAAGACTTCTTGAACCTACGTGTTTTTGTAACAGTAACATTATGAATATACTAAATTACTATAGTCCAAAGAACAATAGCTACTTTTAAGTTTTACTTAAAATTATATAATGATCCCTGTGAATTATTTAAAATATGGCAAAATTCTCTACGTATTATTTTAAATACAGTGCAAAGAATTGTGTAAGTGAACCCATGATGGATTTAACCAACAAGTAACACCAGCAACATCATTATTAACAGTACAAGTACTACAACAAGATAGTCCTTTGTTGCCAAAAAGTTAGGTTAGGCTTAGCAGCTCAACATATAGTTTTAGTTCTGTTTTCTAATTATTGACAATTATCAACATTTTTAAGACGTTATTTTTTTATATTGATATAAAATAAGGAAATAATACCTGTCGAGCTCTCTCAAGCGCATCCGCAAAAGCAGAATTTGTGTCGAACCCACCAGAAACAGTTGACTGAGGTGGAGCAACCGACATGCTGCGACACTAAAAATGGCGGAAAATGCGAATGAACAAAGCAACCTTGTGCTCTGGTTCTCAAGGGTTGTTATAAAACGTGGTACTGTTTGATAATCTTCTAATTCACTGTAATCGTGTTGAGTAGAAGAAGTGTAAAATTTTAACCATAGAAATTATAAAAAATAATAATTGAACATAAATGTTTTAAAATTTTAGTTGAGGTTCAGAAAAATAGCATTATTCACTATAAAATTAAATATGCATTTCACCTCATACATTACGCTCCACGTTTGACGCGAAGGAGAGCAGTTATTGGCTAGCTCAATCGTAATACAAAATTTACCTATTTAGGTTTAACGGCAAATACAAAACTATTTTATTTGATGTGAATAATTATAGTTAAATTTAACATATTTTAAGCTTTTATAATTGTATCTTTCATGGTTTTAAAAGGGATGACTAAATAAATAATTTTTAAGTAGCTTAATCTTCAGTTTTATGGAATATAAATTATTTAAAGAGAAAGGGATATAAAAAAGAAGTTTCTGTATGTTTTTTTACGTAAGTTAATTAAAGTTTTTTGTATAAGAAATAACAAAAAGGACTAAA